AGGCTGCTCTAGTAAGAGTAAGCTATCCTCTGAAGGAATGAAAGGGAAAGTAAGTGGCTGAGTTGATGATACTCCAGTAAAAGTAATTTGTCATCCTACAGGAAAAGTAGCAGCCGAGCCAAGGCACAGAATGGACCTTACCCAAGAGAGAGAGAGAGTGAAATTGGTTAAGACAACAGAAGCGTGATATGCAAATAGATGCTCCTCGAGGTTAACAGGATGCTATTGAATACTGAAGGATATTGAGAATATGATGATATAAGTCCTCTCCTGATGCTATCCAAATTGTTAAGAGACAGCAAGGACTATAGAGTCCTAGGACAAGACAGGTTGGCATTGATATAATGGCAAGTTAATGGGCTCTAGAGATGAGCCAGTGCCTAGGGATTTGAAAGGCATAAGGAAAGGAAAGTGGCCTAAGGAAGCTAAAACTAAGGGCTAAAGAAATATGGAAAGGCTAAGAATTCTAGGAGTTGACAAAAGGATTGAGAAAGGCCTAAGAAGACAATGCTAACATTTCTGACCAGTCTTGGGAAATAATTAGTCAAGTACCAGCTGAGTGGAGATGGACTTATTTTATTACTCAGTCTTGTGATCTGAAGTCTCCCAGGGATGGGAATATGGCTCAAGTAGAGTGAAATTCCAGGGTCATAATAGATCCTGAAGAGGCTTATAATAGAGCGCAGTAGCTCTTGAGGTCATGAAAGACCAAGCCTAAGAGAAAGTGGTTGAGCTATAAGAGCAAGAGTATAGTACCTTTTTGGGAAGACTATGACCAGGGATGAGTTTAAGATGCTAAAATCTCCTTTAATGATGGACTAATACAGATAGAGTACCCTTGACTTGTTCCAGACATCTTTATTGTTAATTAGACTAAGCTCAATTCTATTCTAATCAATGAAGAAAAGAAAGGAGATGTGCCCTTAAAGTAAAGAGGAATAACAGGGTATACTGAAAAGAATAGATAAAGGCGATATTAAAAGAACCTAAAATGTCATGGTATAGTAAAATACCATGAAGATAGGTATACTACCATGGTATTATTATGAAAAAATGAGCCTAAAGTATAGAAAGAATGTGAGCAGTAGTGACAAAATGCTTAAAAGCAAAGGCCATGCTCATATAAGTGACAGAAAAGTATAGAATGACAAGTCATGTAAGTATGAATTTTAGGGTTAAGACCTAGCAATGAGGTATAATAAAAAGGTAAAGAGGTTAAAGTTAAGTAAAAGTGGGGATATTTTCCTTAGTAAACCTCTCATTAAGGGTCAGAGTAGAGGTTTGACTCGGAATTTTGAGGACAAAATTCTTTTGAGAGGGGGAGAATTGTAACATCCCAATTTTTGGCCCTAGAAATACCAGAAATAGCCTGAATTGGATAGGCTACTAGACCCCTTTTAGTAGAGGTCCCAAAGATGAGAAAGGACGTTAAAGCAGTTTCAGGGACTAAACATTAAAAACTCCTTCTCTAATACATTATAAAACTCGATATAAAACCACTACTATGGTAGAAAAGGGAAAACCGTTATGACAATCCACCATAGTAGAAAGGAATTTCGCATACATTTGAAACTAACATCGAAACCTGTGGGTCGAAACCCCAACAAATCTGTTGCATGCAACAAAATCATTCATTAAAATCTACTAGGCCTTCGAGCCTCTAGCCCAAGTAACAAAAGATATCAACATAAGCCCATCGAATTGTTTCCCAACAATGTAAATGAAAGTTTCATAAAACATAATAAGTGGCCTCCGGCCAACCAGAGAAAGAATCAAAAGGGTCTCTGTTTTACACCACTACTGTATCAACAAAATATTTCCAAAAGGGCCCTATGAGTGGCAATATACAATCCAACAATACATAAAGCATAGGCCAAAGGCATTACACCTAACTAAGCTTAAGCCTCCGCGTCCCTTCCCGATGGCGTATGCCTAGAAACTTCACCTGAAAACATTATAAACCACGGGGTGAGACAAAAGGCCCAGTAGCCAACCTTTCCAATTCAGAGTACAAACTAATAGGTGCTCGTGAGGTGTCAAGTGGGGTAGTTAACATGTAATATTATAAACGATAGCCACAACAAATCATGCAAGTGCAACGATACTACTCGTTACCAAATCCCTCACTTTGGGGGATTTACAAGAGCCGAACCCGGCCTATCCCTCACAATGGGGGACATAAGGAGCCAAAAGGCCTATCCCTCACTATGGGGGACTCAAAGAGCAAACCATCATGCATTGATAAAGGCCTTACTATGTGGTAGTAACAATCAAGTCTCTCACCAAAACCCAACACATGCATCATGCTCAAACGTCTTTATCGAAGAGTAAGTACACCTTTTCACAAGTAACTTCAATAAGTGGTATATCTTTCAGAAATTTCCCAATACATTCAGTATTATAGAAAACCCCACAACACAAATTTCTCTTTCAATATACAAAATGCCTTTAGAACACCATATATTACTCGAAGCACAAAAACATAAATCCGCTCACAGTACCATAATAGCATATACAAAGGATTGAAGAGTGGTTACCTCTCGCCTGAGCGAGGAATAATCAAAATACCAACGATGCCCTGTGCACCAACAATAGTCACAACAGGTCTACACAAGCACACATACGCGTAACACCGTGTATTAGTTAACAAACTAATAGAATGGTCAGCACAACACTTGAGGACTCAAAATTCCTAGCCTCAACCAAACCTCTACCCAACTCACAAGGGCCAACCTATCACAATAACACTCCAAAAACAACAAGAGACCATTATTACTCTAGATCCCCTTCCAAAACATCCATTGAATTCAAAAACTCAAACCCCCACTTTAGGAATTCATCACCCAAACACCCAATTAGAACCATTGAAGTCTTAACAACATCCTAAATGGATTAATCATCTAATTTCAACCCTCCTTTACATAACCCAATAAACAAAACTCAATTTCAACCACTACATTATCATCCTCAATCATAAACCTCTATTTTCACAAACCTCATATTCCCAAAACTTCAAAATCTCTAAATCCAAGAAAACTACACAGATTAAATACTTAGATTAACCCATAGCAATCATTTAAACTCAAAATAATCGGTCAAAAACCTTAATTCCATCAAAAAATAGAAAGCCCTAGGATTCCTCTATAAAATCCTCAAAATCCCAAGAGAAAGAGTAGATTAGAGGTTAGATTCACTTACTTGAGGTAATGGACCCTTAGAAACACCTTCTCCAAAACAAAACACAAAAACCCTAGCAGAGCACCACTTTCCTCCTTCAGATTTTCTATTTTTCGCACATCAGACCCTTTCTTCGGATTTAAAGATGCGAACATTTTGTCGCGATGAACCCAAGCCTCGGTCACGGGAAACTAATCCCGAGAGGGATTTTCTAATTCAAAAACCCAAATTAGTCACCGCCAAAACCCATATCGTCGCGGTGATAACTTTTTCTCGAGAGGAACCCTTATCCCCTGAACAACTTTCGTCGCGGCGTCCCCCTTAACTTAGCCATGACAAAACCCTATTCCCGAAAGGAAGCTCTCCTAATACTCTCATGTTCACTGCGACAAAATTTCAATTTGTCGCAGTGAACAAATCCTGAGAGGGATTTGTTCACCTACTCCTCCACTCACTTTGATCCCAAACTACACACCAAGGTTCAAGCTTAAACACCAACTATCCTCAAAATCAACTAAAAAGGGCTACCAAAACTCAAAATAAAGCTCAAGACGTTATAATTCTCCCCAACTAAGGAATTTTGTCCCCAAAATTCAAGCAATCACAAAGACACTACACAAACACACACCAAACACTTACTAAGAAAAATAAAGAGGGTAATCGCGTTGCATCTTCTCCTCTGTCTCCCAGGTGGCATCACCAGGACTCATGCCCTTCCATAAAACTTTCACTAACCGAATGGTCTTATTCCTCAACTGTTTGTCCTTCACGTCAAGGATTCTTTTTGGTTATGCCTAGTAAGTTAGGTTGTCGTGTAACTCTACCTCTTCAGGTTCTAGGATATGAGATGGATCAGGGTGGTACTTTTGAAGTTGGGACACATGAAACACGTTGTGCACATTAGGCAAGTGTAGAGGTAAAGCCACATGATAGGCTACTTCTCCAATTCTCTCTAAAATTTCAAAGGGTTCAAGAAATCTAGGAGATAACTTTTTCACTTTAATGAACCTCCCAATACTAGTAGTCGGTGTGACCCTCAAAAACACATGGTCACCCTTATAAAATTCTAATGATGTCCTCCTCCCATCGGTATAACTCTTTTGCTGACTCTAAGCTGTCAATAACTTCTGCTTAATAACCTCAATTTTCTCCGTGGTGGCATCTCCCAAGTCTTGTCCTAAAACCATTCTTTCACTCAGTTCTGTCTAGCAAAGGGGTGATTGATACTTTCGGCCGTAGAGTGCTTTATAAGGGGCCATCTGGATACTAACGTGGTAACTATTGTTGTAGGCAAACTCAACCAAAGGTAGGTGATCAATCCAACTCCCCTTGAATTCGATGGCACAAGCCCTCAACATTTCCTTTAGTGTCTAAATTGTCTGTTTTGTCTGTCCATCGGTCTGCGAGTGGTATGCCGTACTGAACTTCAACTTAGTACCTAAGGCCGCATTTACCTCTTTCCAAAAGTTAGAAGTGAAATACGAATCTTGATCTGAAACTATACTCGACAGAACCCTATAGAGCCTAACGATCTCATCCATGTACAGCTTGGCCATCCTCTCCAAGGTATAATTGACCTTATATGGTAAAAAGTGAGCAAATTTTGTCAATCTATCCACCACCACCCAAATAGCATCATAACCTTCGAGTGTCCTTGGTAAACCCACTACGAAATCCATGGAGATGCTATTCCACTTCTATTGAGGGATTTCTAACCCTGGCAATAAACCTCCAGGCCTTTGATGCTCTATCTTGACTTTCTAACAAGTCAAACATCAGAGTACAAAGTCGGTCACTTCCTTCTTCATGTTGGGCCACCAGTGCTACTGCTTTAGGTCATGGTACATCTTGGTGGCATTGGGGTGGATGGCGTAATGGCTTCGGTGAACCTCTTCTAGGATAATTCTCTTAATCTCCTCATTATGGGGAACACAAATCCGATTCTTATACTTCAGGATGCCAATATCTCTAATCTCATAGTCCTGTACTGGGCCATTCTCCAATTCAACCCGAATCCTTGCCAGCTGACCGTCTTCCCATTAAGCCGCTTGTAAATCTTAATAGAACTCATAATCTCCGAGCACTGCACATAGAGTAGCCTGTCCCGACGGTACCATTGGAATCTCTAATAATTCCTTGAGCAAGAATTGTTCCTTTAAGCTCATACAGAACACATGCACCACTTTTCTGCTCAAAGCATCCACTACCACATTGGCCTTTCCAAGATGATATTTAATTTTAAAATCATAGTCCTCCAGGAACTCCATCCAACGACACTGCCATTGTTCAACTCTTTCTGATCCACCAAGTATTTCAAACTTTTATGGTCACTGAAGACTTCAAACTGGGAGTCGTACAGATAATGCATCCATATCTTTAGTTCAAAAACTACTGCCGCTAGCTCTAAGTTGTGGGTCGGGTAATTTTCTTCGTGTAGCCTCAGCTGCCTAGAAGCGTAAGCCACTACCTTATTGTTTTGCATTACCATATAACCCAACCCCTTTAGTGAAGCATTGGTGTATAAAACATACGGTACTCTGAGGGTTAGAAGAGTAAGCACCAGAGCTGTAGTCAACCTGGTCTCCAACTCTTGGAACGCTGCTTCACATTCCTCCATCTAAACAAATAGTTGATCCTTTTTAGTTAACTTAGTCAATGGTATGGCAATATGAGAAAAGCCTTGAATGAACCTCCGGTAATAACCAACTAATCCCATAAAACTCTGTACCTTGGTTACTGATCTAGGAACTTCCCACTTTAGTACTGTGTCCACTTTGTTGGGATCTACTGCTATTCCCTGAACAGATACAACATGACCAAAGAACTTCACTTGTTTCAACCAGAACTCGTACTTTGACAGTTTAGAGTACAACTGATGGTCCCACAAAATTCATAGTGCAATGTGGAGATGCTCTCGATATTCTTCCTTACTCTTAGAATAAATTGGTATATCATCGATGAACACCACCACAAATCTATCTAAATAGGGTAGAAAGATCCGGTTCATGTAGTCCATAAAGACAGCTGGAGCATTTGTTAGTCCAAAAGGCATCACCAAAAACTCATAGTGCCCATAACGAGTTTGAAAGGCCGTTTTTGAAATGTCCTCTGCTCGTACCCTCAGTTGATGGTATCCTGACCTCAGATCAATCTTAGGGAAATTGATGCTCTAACTAATTGGTCTAACAAGTAATCGATTCTAAGCAACTGGTACTTGTTCTTGATTGTGACCTTGTTTAATTATTGGTGGTCAATACACAGCCTCAAGCTACCATCTGTCTTCCTCATAAACAAAATCGGCGATCCCCACAGCGACACACTTGGTTGGATAAATCCCTTTTCCAATAAATCCTCTAGCTGCTTTTTCAATTCGACTAATTCTGAAGGAGACATTCTTACGGAGCCTTTGAAATTGGTGTGGTTCTCGAAACCAATTCTATGGAGAACTCCACTTCCTGCTTTAGAGGTAGTCCTGTAACCTCATCTGGAAACACCTCTGGGTACTCCCTTACCACATCTATTTACTCAATTCAGCCTGCTTTACTCCCATTGATCAAGAAGAATACAACAAAGGCCTGACACCCTTTCTTCACCACCTTATCCACTTGTGTAGCTAACAAAAGAATTGGGCCACCAAGCAACTCAATGCATATTACACCTACCAGAATAGTCACTAACCTCTATTTACAGTCGAGAATTGCACCATTAGCCATCAACCAATTCATGCTAATAAGCACATTGATATCTTTCAAAGGTAAATGAAACAAATCTATTGTAGAATCTCGATTGTCAAACTGAAGTGCAAGCCTTAGACACGCCCTTCTAGTTACAACAGTAACCCCCATAGGAGTGGACACTCTTAAATCATAAGGTAGGTCAACCACAGGCAAACTCAACTTCTAAGCACAATCCACAGAAATAAAGGAGTGTGTAGCACCCGAGTGAAATAAAGCAGAAATAACATGTCCTTGAAGTAAGATGTTACCTCAAATCAAGTTTGGAGATGTAGAAGCCTCTTCATTTGTCATGGCATAAACATGTCCCAAAACAGTGGAATGGCCAGTTTGAGGTATTGATTGGCTCTCTGGACAGTTTCTGGCAATATGTGTCACATCCAGCATTGTGGTAATTAGAAATAAGAAATATTCTCAAATTATTGAGGATTAAAAATGATAAGGAGAAGTAGAAGAATTTTGGTGGAAAATAATTACCATAATTTTCCAAGCCAATTATAGGAATTTGACTAATTAAGAAAAATTGGTCAAATGTAAATAAGGAAAAATATTTCCAAGCCTTGGAAAAATAAGAAAAAATGAGTATAAATCCTTTGAGAGTTATATGAAATTATAAAGTTGGTTTTATGACCAAATTACCCTTAGAGAAATTATAAGAGAATTTAAGGGCGATTTAGGCTAATTAAGGGATTTTATTCAGAAAATTGCAAATAAATATTTTTAAGGAGAATAAAATTCCAAGAAAATTCCTATGAGACCATAAGGAATTATATGAGATTATGGAATTAAAGAAAGACCCTCAAGTATCCAAGATTTTTCCAAATACTTGTGAAAAGTGGAAAAATCCCTAAAGACGAGGCAATTAATTTTCCTTTTTTATATAATTATTGGGAAATTAATTTTGAGGCAAAGAGGGCAATTTGGAAAGATAAAAATGAGGAGAATAAATTAAGGATCTGAGAGAAAATAATTACAGAGGACAAACTACTATAATTATAGGAAGGAAGTTAAACTTAAAGCCAAAGTATACTGATAAAGTAAGACTAGTGTCTTGCAAATCAAATGGATCACATTAAGTCATGTGTCAAGCCCTCAAGGGAGAGGATTTGAATTTGCCAAGTGTCACTCCTCAAATGGAGAGGATCTTGACTTTTGGTAATTAAATTCATTTGGATTTTGTTAATTAAGAAAGAGAAAGTAAGATTAAAGAGGGTAATGACACTTGGATTCTCATTAAAGATGGTGGTTGGGATATTTTGGCTCATTAAACAAGCTCATCTTCCACCCATTTTCAGATGTGTATTTTGGCCAAGGAGAACAAAGAGAGAGAAGAGAGAGTTTTGAGGGAGAAGAAAGGAAAAGCAAGCACCTTTGACCATACAACCAAGGATTCAAGGTTAGTTCTTCATTCTAGATGGGTTCTTGCTTTGTTTTCTTTCTTTCTATGGTTGAAAAATCTGTTTCTCCTCTCCTTTGGGTGTTGACCAAACTGGTTATCTTGAGGGGAAGGAATTTTTGTTGATCACACTTGCTAAGACACATCAAAACATGTTAGTTCCTAGTGTTTGCAAGTGGCTATAGGTTGTTTTAAAGCATTTTTCTTGGTTGTTTCTTTGGATATTCATTTCGGCCAAGATGATGAATGAACCCTGGGATGATTTTTTCAATGTTTTAAGGCTTTCATGATGCTTAAAATGAGAAATGGTGTAAGGTAAACCAAAAGGAACAAGTGTTGGAAGCATTAAAACAAAGTTGTAATTTTTGGTTCAAGTACCCCTAGTGGTTCGGTCAAGGGTAGCTGAAATAAGAAGTTTTATTTTCATAGATCTAAGCACATATTTAGAATCTACATGAAAAACCATGTAGGAATAAGTCAAGAAGCAATTTTTAGGGTTAAAAGGAAACAATTTCAAAAATAGTGAACAAAGGTGGAAGTTTTAAGGAGCAAGAGTCATTTTTTATTTGTGTTCTTGCTTTTTCTTCATTGGTTAATGATTCTTGCTACCCTTTTTGATCGATTGAATTGCTAGGGTTTGATATTTGTGAAGGGAAAGAAGAGAAAGAAAGAAAGCTCAAGCTTTTGGAGCAAGGTAGCAAGTTAAACCTAGCTACTAACACTAACTTGGCATTATTGATTATTGCATGATTAATTGCTAATATGTTGTTGAATTTTCCTGATTGTGTTGTGGCTGCTCTTTGCACTTTCTTGCTTTGACCTTTGCATGATTGAGTTTTCCAAATGATAAGCATGCTAGTTCACTAATAGTAGTTAATGTAGTTATGCATAATAATGATGCTTGTTGGTGCTATAGTTGGTTAATTTGCTATTGGGATTTCAATGAAATCTCATTCCACAAATGCAATCTAACATTTTAGGGCTTGAATCCTCTAAGGGAAAGCTACAGATTAAAGGTTAAATTGTGGTGTCTTGCCACAAAAATTTCGTGGATCTTTTTGGCTATGTATGTATTATACTAACAGTGCTGTAAACACACTGACACTGCCATGTTCACGTGACTTTTTGATTAAGCTCCTAAATGCGTTAAATCATGAAATTTGGTATGATTATAGATAATGTCCTAAGATTCAATTTGATAGTTAACACGTTAAAAATGGCCAATTATATGATTTTTAATGATTTTTCAAAGTTAAAGGTCAGAATTGGGAAAAAGGGTTTTTAGCAAATGGACAGTGTTACCTTTCACAAAAACCTGACGCTTTTCATAAGGAATTGGATCACAAGATTATTTTTTCTTGAAATAGAAATTAAATATTTTTAAATAGAATTTTGAACCACCTCATTTTGATTTTTGTGGAATAAGTTATGAATTTTCAAAGTTGGGCCAGAGAAACTGAATTTTTACTTGATAAACAGTAAAAATCCGAAATTTAGCGTTTTTTAGATAAAAAGTGAGCCTAAGACCATCCAATGCGGACTAAAATGGTTTTAAATGGAACCTAAGTTAATAAAATAGTAAGGTGTGATATTTTTGTTGTCAGAGCGAAGGTTCTGACATAGGATAGAACGCTCTACTTAAGTATTCCCTAGATTTTGGGTTAGTTAAGAAAGAATTAACACCTCATTACAGGAGTCAGGATGGGGATTGCTATGGATTGGAACTCTAAATCTGAGCCATCAGTCAACGATTGGGATCTTAATGTAATTGATCTCACTAAGGATGAGGACCCAGAGGAATGGATAATGGGAGATGCTAGCCCTGGCCATTCATCAGTGTGCTCCAATGACTATGCTAAGTGCTATCCTGAGTTGCTAGGGATCACTGCAAAACAGTTGCTGCACCTCCCCAAACCCGAAGACCTGATCAACCCTGTAACTAGCCTTTACCAAGAGCCATTAGACTTAGACCTTTATATTCAATCCCTTAAACGACCTGTTGCCCCTGTTATGTATCCATGTAATATCCCTAGACCTAGTACTAGACCAGTTGTACCCCCAGCCCCGATAATACTTGTGGCACCTGCAATACCAGTTGTACCTGCCCCAGTTCAGCCTAGTCATGAGATCCGCAGTATGGGTCATCTGAGTGACCGGCTGAGGTTCCTAGGGGATCACATCAAGAGGGATGTAGATGCAGACTTGAGAGTACACCGAGACTACCTCCAAGGTTTGAGAGAGCTGTATTAGGCACATGGACCAGGTAGCCCTTACCTAGAACCTTTTGATTGGTTATGTGAGATGGTAGATGTCCTACCCAACACTCCATGCTGGACCCATGAGATTATCTGCCTGAACTACCTACTGGGAGATGATGTGGAGGATTAGATCCGGAGCCTTGAGGGCTTTGTTATCATTCACTTTCTGTAGATGACTAGGACTCTCCTATCACTAACATAGGATGTATTTTGGTATAGCTAACCCGTGTACGTTAGGTTGATAGTGCTTGGTTGATGAATGTTTTAAATTGTACTTTGGTTGACTGATGCTCAAATGCTGAATGTTGTATGTCTATTTTGTTAATGAAATCCAAGCATGATATTTATTTCTTGTTCCTTATTATGCTATCCGGTTAGTTAAACGATGGTTAGAACTCGACAAAACTTTTCACCGGAGAGACCCCCAGTGCAAGACGCAAGGGTCCCTACCGATCCACTACAATTAATTTTGGATCGCCTTAAGCAACAGCAGAAGACCATCGAAGACATAAGAGCAGTGCAAGCTTGCCAGGAACAAGAAAGGGATGCAGCGATAGCTACAACAGTAGCAACGGCATTAGCGAACCTTGACAGGAGGTAGCCAGAGGAAGAGGTCTCTGTAGCACAAGCTTCAGAAGCATTACCTAGGCCGGCAATGCCAATAGCAGAACCCGACAGCATCCAACAGTGGATGACCCGCTTCTGTAAGCACAACCTGCCATCATTTGATGGAACATTTGATGTCCAAGTGGCGGAAGATTGGATTAACCGTCTAGAGAAGATTTTTAAGGTACTGGACTGCTTGTCAGAGTAAAAAGCCCAAATGGCAATATATAAGCTAGAGAGAGATGCTGATTGCTGGTGGAAAAATAATGAGATTCTTTTGGATGCTCGAAACACGACGGTAACTTGGGAAGTGTTTTTGGAGCAGTTCTATGAGAAGTATTTTCTGAGATCTGTCCGAGATGAGAGAGAAGCAGAATTTTTGACTCTGAAATAAAGAGA